ACAGCATAATGGTAGTTTTCAATACAGCCCGAAAATCAGGTATTTAGAGATATCTTAAGTGAGCTTGGAGTATGCGTGCTACGAAAAGCTTGAGGTAGAATATATAACATAATATTTGCAACATAATGGATAGGCGGATGTGACTATGTGAAATCACTAAACAAGACATATAAGAGACGTATCTTATGGGGGAAGTTAAAGACTAGGATATTACCTGAATGAAGAGAATAACGGATTAAATGGGCAGTATCTGATCAAACCTACCCAAAACTGGATAAAATTATGTCACCAGCGAGAAATGTGAATACTTCTCATTAATCCGTTTAAGAGGCAGACATAAACAAGGCTTAAATAAGCGAGTAAATACGAGAATATAAGAAAGATGAATTCGCCAGGACCAAGGGAGAGATACCACAAATGATTAACGCTTCTTATACCTTTTAGGTATATAAAGGGAAGAAAATGGTGGTTCATAATTAAGCATGTTTGAACCACTTTCAACAAAATAAAAAAGGAAACATTTTTTTGAATGATATTTTTGAAATTCTTATAAATATAACCACTTTGAGGATCGTTCTTATAAACAGGCTGAGCAGTTTAATGCCATTACATTTCACAAATATAGACGCAAATTTATTTGCAGCAGATTTCATAGAAAGACTTCCTGATTTTAGAAAGGAAAACTAATTAATAGATAAATAACAGAAGAGAGGGAGAGAAGGGAGGAAATATCTTAGATGAGGATAATCGTAATCTAGATACATTTTTTAATTGATATTTAAACAAATCTGGTTCTAAGTCAATAAACTCTACTGAATATCTCATATGAAATTGAACGTAGAAGAGTTTTACATAGCATTCAAATATTATATACAATTAATACATGTTTTCGAAATTATCACTCTTATCACAATGAACTACTACATTAACGTATAAAAGGATTTTATCTTACAGCTAAATTAGTCTTATGCTCCTCCTCTTGTTTTTGATGTAATAAGGAATTAAAAGTAGCCTATCAATTAACTAGTGTTGCTATAATCGAATTTAACCGGTGTCCTTATATAAATCCCAAAAGGTGTTTTTGAGCACCATTTAAGCTTGAATTATGCTTTTCTGCTGTACTTTCATACAAAATTAAAGTCATCCTAACAATATTTTTTAGTTGTCTTAGCCATAATGCATTTTATAAAATGCAACTAATTACGATAACCAATAATTAAATATAAGAACAACTGTTATAATACATAATATTTTATTTGAATTACTACATTGACAAACTATATTTTAATGTGCTAGTAGGGGGGATATAATTTGACCCGCCAAGAAAGGTCTTCGCGTAGGTGTCAATGCTTGGTGCTCAGTACCTTCTTAATGAAGGGGTATGAAGACTTTAGAAGGGACCTGGCCTCCTATGGCCAAACCCACATCTTGAATTTTTGGGATGAACTGACTAATGAGCAGCGCGCTATGTTAATCAATGATTTTTTAGAAATCGATTTTGACCTTCTTAGTCATTATTTCGAAGTGAGCTTACTTTAAAGATTCTTTATATTGATTTTTCAAATTTTGATACGAAACTTTTTATAGTCTGCGGTTTGGGTAGGTGCTTTTAGTTTAATATCTTTTGATTCGTAGAGGTTGGAAAATAGCCATTCAGGTATTGAAGAGAAAATCTTACCCCCCGACGCGTCTGCATGTTGTTCTTTAAAATTTTTAAGAGAGCACTCACCCGAAACGCTGGAACTCTATAAGGATACAAGTACTTCAAAGTTAAAATAAACATTTAAGCTAGCTTTCAAGGCTATTCATGGTGGCAAGGTTGCTGTTCTACTTTTAGCTGGGGGTCAAGGGACTCGTTTAGGTGTCTCTGACCCAAAAGGAATGTTTAACGTTCATCTGCCATCTAATAGCTGCCTATACAAATTGCAAGCAGAAGGACTGAATAATATCGCATCACTCGTCGGAAAAGTGTTTGGATCACCCTGCCATATTCCTTGGTAATTTGATGTATTGGTTTATTTCTTATTTGTTTTTTTAATCTAGGTATATCATGACTTCTGGTCATACGAGAGAATTAACAGAATCGTACTTTAAGTCACATAATTATTTTGGCAACGACCCGAATAATGTTGTATTCTTTGAACAATATTCAATACCATCTGTAGATTTTGATGGAAAGATCCTCATGGAGTCAAAATTCAAGATATGCCTTTCGCCTGGTACAGTTTTTGTACTTGTTTTAGAAACATTTAATTCCTCATGCTAAGTTTTTAGTAAGCATATGTTCTTTATTTTAGTGCTAATGTAGAAATAAGCCGCAAAATTTCATAAATATTTATTTGAAGTATCCTTAGCATTGTAGCTGTAGTCGGATTTATTTTCCGTAAGATTGTGTAATCATAAAAATTCATTGATACTTGAATTAAAATTCCTTTATACATTTGGGTGTGGGAATTTATCGTTCTATTATGTTGGAACTACTAAATTCTAAGTAGAAGTATTAATTTATTTCTTCTATTTATGTTGACACAGATGGCAACGGCGGACTATATAGGGCGTTGCTCGACCGAGGCATACTTGCAGACATGGCTTCTAGAGGCGTGGAATATGTCCAAACCTACTGCGTGGACAACATTTTGATAAAGATGGCTGATCCATATTTTATTGGCTATTGTATTGAGAAGGGAGCAGACTGTGCTGCAAAGGTTGTTCAGAAGATAGAACCAACAGAACCTATTGGTGTTTTGGGGATAATTAATAAAAAATATCAAGTAAGGGTAAAGATTTTTCTCTGCAATGGTCTTTGATTTTGTGCATACGGATTACTATATCAATCCTTTTTATTATTGTATTTTTATTATACAAATAGTTTATGCACTCATGCTGCCTACTGGCCGCATTCTAAATAGGATCAGCTGCTAATTAGTCTTTTTCATAGTCATATCAGTCTTTTAAGCCATATTCAGTTTACTTCTTTACATTTTTTGGAGCAACTAATA